CCCCCCCGCCCAAGAAATGCTTTCCTCTCAGAGTTGTTATGTGATTGGCTTATGCTGATTGCATAATAATTTTAGCTAGTTAAAATCAGCCATTTGGAGATGAATTTTTATCTAGGGGATGAAGTGACACTGCAGCAAGATAATTGTCTTCAAAGACTTTATATTTCCACTTCGTCCAAGTCAGACACAATTTGGCTACGTTCCACATTGAACATCCCCATCTCTCTGATGGAAAATCTATTACTGCCAAATTAAAATATGGCTGCTATCCTCATAGCAACAGTAGGTTGAAAACCCTGGGTGATAAAGACAATAATTATTTCTTGAATGAAATTTTCTGTTTTTTATATTTTTTTAAGAATCAGTTTGTCTGCCTTATGCACGCAATTTTGAAGTGCCATGTTTCCCATTTGTCATCATGCCTTCAGGTGAAATTCTCTTAAAAACTTCTTAACCTTTAAAATTATTTCTTGGACATTTGTCCCTCACCCACCTTTTTGTTTCTGAACATGTCTGCCCACAGTATTTGTGATTGGAAAAATAATTATGAATGTTCCAAAGGGGTGTCTGGCCCCAGTAAAAGTTGGCCCATGAAATTAGGTCAGCATATGCCTTATATGGGAGAATGTGACAAAAACCTGTTTGCAAAAGGGGCATAGGAATTTCTGTGAGGTACTCTGACAGTCCTATTTGTGTATTTCTGATCATAATTTTTGTGGTATTTAAATCTCAGAATTCAAAGGAATCTAGAAATAGATTTTTGCACGTGTGTTACGGTTTCGTTAGAAAGAGGCTGTCTTCTAAATGTTAACAGTATTTTTTTGTATGTGCAACAAAAATTGAGAGTTATTATGAATTTCCATGCCAGTCATTAAATGGAACCCTTTTCAGTGGAACATTTCACAATTTTAATGCCCCCAATACCATTGGCACCAATCTGGCACATGACATTAGACACAAACAAAGCAACTTTTGTTTGGGTGCAAATTATCTTATTTCTGAATGAATTTATATTCATATTATTACAGTTATATGTATTTAGCAATCTTGATTAATAAATATAGGCAGAGATTTTTTCTTTGTGCTTGCTTTACTCTTAAAATGAAAACTTTGTATGACTTATTATATTTTAGCATCCTGTTGCATTGAGGCATTATCCTTACTATTAGAGTACACATCAATAATGATAGTCATACTAATACACATTATACATTGTAGTACAAATAGCCGCTAAAGAGTGCCACAACTAAACTAAACATTGACTTGCATGAAAGGAGCACGGTGAACAGGTGCAGTGCAGTGCAGTGCAGTGCAGTGCAGTGCAGTGCAGTGCAGTGCAGTGCAGTGCAGTGGTCTCCCCAAAAAGAAAAATCACCTGATGATGGCCCATATGAGGCCGGTACATGTTGTAAATAACTAGAAAAATACATGTAAAACTAGAGACATTTCAGAAATTTTGATAATCACTTTTAATATATAAAATATACTTTTAGTGTCCTATTCACATTTTAATAATTTTAACATCATAAAGTATTATGATACATATTTAGTGAGTGACATATTCTTGATGTCTTCTATATTGTTACATTATTGACATGTACTCTAATAATAAACCTTATAGGACTTAGAATTACTGGTTTTTTGGATTTTATATGACTTCACTGACAGAGGTTGGTAGTAATATTTTGGTTTTCTTTCTAGTCAAAGAGCAAAATAATTCAGCCCAAATATGAGAATGTTGAATTATTTTTACGGAAGCTATTATGAACAGTAACAAACAAAGCAAGCACTGTTCTGCTGTTGGCTCTTAGTGTATTTGTATGCAGGATTGTTCAGTACTGATGATAAAGAATGCTGATAACTCCCATAGGTATTGTACTGTCTTGGAACATGCAACTGACATCAGAGTATGAGGAGATAGCTAGTTACCAGTTGTATGCATACCAGGAGGGGTCTGCCCAGCCAAGCACTACATTATGGAAGAAAGTTGGTGATGTGAAAGCCCTACCATTGCCTATGGCTTGCACACTGACACAGGTAACTATACATCTCATTCCATAAGGGATGGTTCATTCGCAGAGAAAGAATGTAACATATCTGAGGTGCTCATTGCAGTAAGTGTGAAGATCACTGTCTTCTGGGAAATGATTCCAAGTAGTGTGGTAGATGTTTACTGTCATTTTGGAAGAAAACAGCATACAAGAGTACTGTGTAAATCCACATATAAGGTTACCCTCCCTCTCTTTCCAATTGGAAAATCAGGGGAAGAAAGTTCTTTTGACAAAATCAAATATGTCATTTAGTTCTGAAGCTTGTAAGCCAGAGAATTAAAAACTATAGTATTAAGAAATAAGAAACTCCACGGCCTGTAGTCAGCAAGTGCACTATACCAACCGAGCGACCGCCACTTGTTGGCGAAGTTAGTGCCAACTTTTGCGGATAGAGGCTGTCATGTGGTCAGCGCAATGAATTCCCATAGCCGTTAATCTTGGTTTTCTAGACTGGAGCCCCTATTTCCTTGAAATAGTTCCTCAGTTATCCTCACGAGGCTGAGTGGACCCTGTTCCATACCCACTACTACTCAGAAAATCTGGTAGCACCAGGAATCGAACCCAGGACCTCTGGATCTGTAGGCAGGAACTCTGACTGCTAGACCACAGAGGTGGTCCATACATTCAGAATTTAATACCTTGAATATAATTCTGGGTATTTTCACAAATATCATTAGAATTAGTTGTTAGAACTCATAAATGTTTTTTTCATATTTATTCTTAATGAACCAAAAATAAGATGACCCCTCTTTTCTGAGGAGCAAAATTGGGGTGGGGAGGCTACCTAATATTCAGTGTAATATGGTATTCATCTGTCTTGAGGAAGTAGGCAGTATATGTACTGCCAAAATGTTGGTAAACATGTGGAACTTCTTAGTGTCACATCTTAGGTAACAGTAATCTGCAAGATTACTCATATTACACAGGGTCCTATTACACAGGGTCCCCAATGAAAGTTTGAAATTTTGATCCTTTGCAGAGTTTGTTGGAAAGTTAGAGGAATTTGTATCTGTGAGGTAGGATTTGAAGATAGTAAAACTTTGATGGTGCTTGGGACTGTGCAAAGCTGTGAACAACTTTGATTGCTTGAACCTTGTCATGATATTGGAGCAGGCACTTCCCAAATATGTGTTGGATATATTATTGTTCTGTTTCCATATTAGCTAGGATGTTATCATTTTTAATATACAATTTGCAGGTATGTTGTATATGTTGTAGTGCAGTTTATGGTGCCCCAGGATACACTTTGGTATGGAAAGTTTTATTCCATAATGAGAGTTTTGATTATGCAGTGAAATGCCCATTTCAGGTTTCCTTGGAAGGGAGCTGGAGTGGAGAAGTAAACTTGGAAGTATCTTAAATGGAGGAAATGTAACACTGAGATTATTGTATTAGAACCACTGAAATTGAACATTAAATAAGGGAAAACTTGAAGTTGAGAGACTTTATGTGGGAGTTCCATTTTACTATGCTGACTTAACTGCAGCTAGCAAGCTGCTGGAGCAATTTTTTTTTCTTACGAATATGCCCTTGTATTAAGATTACAGTCTTCTGGGTTGTGATACTGTGTAATTTTGTATATATTGTTGCATGCTGGAAATTCAGAAATCCATGGAAATGCAAAAAAAAACAGTGGGCCGTTGCCTAGGAGTACCTTAAGCAACAAACGCGTTTCCCCGGAGATGAAAGGAAAAGAGGGTTTGTTGCATGACAGCAGCTGAGACCAAAGGTTCTGACATGGTGCGCTATATTCCACCTGAGACCGGGTTATAAAAGTCCAGCTTCGAAGGGACCAGACATTTGAGTTGAGTTGAATTGAGTTGACAGTTGAGTTCTAGAAGTTGCAGAGAAAAGCCTTCAGTTTGGCTTTGACTATAGCAGAAGCAGTACTTGAGATACTGAAAGTGATAATAATTGTACTCGCTAGTGTAAAAGTGAGCATTAAAAAAAAACATTCGCCAAATCCAAGACCTGTGTGAATTTATTTGTCGCATTATATAGGCAGCACACAACAATATATACCAGTGTTTGGGAGAAACCTCCTGCCTCATAATGTACCCTAGGGACAATGGGTTCTACTGAAAGGTTTGTATCTGTCTACCAAACTACAGGCTATCACATCCAAGAAAACAGTGTTGTTCATAGTCGCTGTCATGAGAACCTCCAGATGTCACAAGTTCTGATAAATTTTGGTATATGAAGAGTGTGCTGTATTTTCATTTTTTATAGCATACAATTGAAGAAGAGTTGCACTGTTTACAACGAACATTTTAATTTAAACTTAAGGGTGTCTTAAGAAAAGTATAATTTTTTTCTTACAAACATGCCCTTGTATTAAGATTACAGTCTTCTGGGCTGTGATACTATGTAGTTTTGTACATATTATTGCGTGCTGGAAATCTAGAAATCCATGGAAATGCAAAAAAAAGTGGGCTGTTTTCTAGGAATACCTTAAGCAACGAACATGTTTCCCCAGAGATGAAAGGAAAACAGAGGTTTGTTGCATGGCAGCAGCCAAGACCAAAGGTTCTCACATGGTGCGTTATATTCTGCCCGAGACCAGGTTATAAAAGTCCAGCTTTGAAGGGACCAGACATTTGAGTTGAGTTGACAGTTGAGCTCTAGAAGTTGCCAAGAAAAGTCTTCAGTTTGGCTTTGACTATAGCAGAAGCAATACTTATGATACTGAAAGTGATAATAATTTTACTTGCTAGTGTAAAAGTGAGCGTTCAAAAAACATATTCGCCAAATCCAAGATCTGCATGAATTTATATGTCGCATTATATAGGCAGCACATGACAATATATACCAGTGTTTGGGAGAAACCTCCTGCCTCATAATGTACCCTAGGGACAATGGGTTCAACTGAAAAGTTTGTACCTGTCTACCAAACTACAGGCTATCGCATCCAAGAAAACAGTGTTGTTCATAGTTGCTGTCATGAGAACCTCCAGATGTCACAAGTTCTGATAAATTTTGGTATATGAAGAGTGTGCTGTATTTTCATTGTTTATAGTATACAATTCAAGAAGAGTTGCACTGTTTACAACGAACATTTTAATTTAAAGGGTGTCTTAAGAAAAGTTTAATTTGGAGGTTTACTTGAACGTGTTGTGTTTGTATTTTTAACTATTTTATGTTATATATTGTCATGTGTTGGGTATGTCACATGACAAATAACTTCACATAGACTTCGGATTCAGTGATTATTTATTCTCCTTTTCTTTTACACTTATACGCTCTTTATACTGTCACAGTCAATCCTTCTGCTGTGGTCACTCCTTGACTTCACTCGGCGCATGCTAGACTTCAACTGTTTCGTTCATACGTGTCTACCTAGTTCTGCTTCCAACTCTCTTATGTAGGCGTTATGCGGACCTGATACCAGACACCATTTCTCACAGTTCTGTTTGTGCTGTTTCAACAGTCTGCTGTTACACAATGAACTCTGTTGTTCATCTCCGGGGAAACACGTTCGTTGTTTTGGCATTCTCTACTCAACAGCCCGCTGTTATTGTGTTACCATGGAAGTACCTACTCCAAACATGTTACAATATTTTACTGTGCTAATTGATCTTAACTTGTCAGTTTATTTTAATTTTCAGTTCATGGAAGGCCATAAATATCACTTCGCCGTTCGAGCAGTTGACGTGCATACAAGAGTAGGTCCATTTAGCACACCAGGCAACATTGTTCTTACCCGTAAATAACATTTTTGAGCCTGTCATCCAATGTGTGCCGTATTGGTGATCATATTGCTGGTGTGAGGAAGAGAAAGGATGCTGCTGTTCTGCCAGTTGTGCCCATATGCACATATCCTGTGTAGTAGATCACTACAGAGCTTTGCTGTTAACTATGGCTTTTATGAAGGATGTGCCCTTCTAACCATTTCTTCTGAAGTTGTTGAGAAGTAGAGTGCAGTTGTGTGCAGCTACCAGTTTTGATGGAAAGGATCCTCATATGCAGAATAAATATCTGTGTAGGTACTTGTACATAAACGCAGTGTAGATTCCAAGCGCCATTCGGAGAAGTGTTGAAGACATTAGTGATGTGTACACTTCTCTTAATATCAGTTCTTTTTTTCACAACATGTGCATTATAAATTATTGAACAGATTTGTCCCTCATGTTTTGGTTCTTGAAAATTTTTGACATTCTAGAAATTAGATTGTGTTTATTAGGGCCATGGACCATATGATCTGGTTACCTGTGCATGATCTCACAAGCCAGAAGATAACAGCTGAAATCTTCAACATCATGAAACCTCAAATCTTATTCAGACTATTTTGGGGGGAAATTTTATATTGTCTGGTGGTTGACCTGTTACTGTTTGGCTTGTGACTGAGTATTAGAATGTTATTCCTTGCTCAGCTGAAATATTACTCCTCATAGAGTGAAAAAGTTACTACACAAGTTGTAAATCTGTTGATGAGGGGTGAGCCATAAAAACTGGCCCTTGCACTGCAACCTTCAATGATCTGTTGTCCTTCCTCTTTGGATTAACCCTTTATTAATCCTACACTTCGAATGAAATGTAGGTCTTTATTTATGGGGGCATCATAAAAGTCACTTGGTTCCCTGAAGAATTGATCCAGGTAGCGATATCTTAAGTAAGCTATGGCCTTACAATCAGATAGGATGTGTGTGGCTGATTCCTCTTCTTGTAGGCACCTTCCTCAAGTTGGGTCTTCTGTCAGTCCCAGTTTGAAAAGGGCGGTAAGAGTATATCCTGCTGCTGTAATTGATAGAAGTTTGAGAGAATTGTAGACACTTGGTCTGTACCTTGAAGACAACTGGGACTGACAGATGACCCAACCAGTGAAAGGTGCCTACAAGAAGAGGAATCAGCCACACACATGTGAGGCCATAGCTTACTTAAGATTTTGTCACCTTTGTCTGTTCTTCATGGAACCAAGTGACTTTTATGACGCCCCCATAAATAAAGTCCTACATTTCATTTGAAGTGTAGGACTAATAAGGGGTTAATCCAAAGGGGAAGCACAATAGATCATTGAAGGTCGCAGTGCTAGGGCCGGATTTTATGGCCCACCCCTTACACACATACATACAGACTCCAGCACTGTGCAATTGTTGGACATAATGTTACGACAGAAGGTGCACCCTATCACACTTCCATAATTGATGATTTTAATTTTGTTCTTGTGTGTTTTACTACAGTATATAAAACAAAATATATATTGTTTTCTTCAAGTTGGACAATCTTGGAGACCATTTAAAGTTCTCCTTTATCATCATTTTGTATGTGTGTGTGCGCACGTGCGTTTGCATTTTTGCAGTCACTCTGTATCAGTTTTATTTATGAAGGAGAATATTAGTAGAGAGATGTCAGTGTAACAGAAAGGCCACAGTTGAATACATTTTTATTGCTATTTAATCGTTGAAATTTTCAGTGACATTTACTTCGCAAGTTTTAATATGTTATCAAGATCTGAATAAGCAAAATGAGCAGCAGAATTTTACTTCCCTTAATGTGCGAAGTGTAATTGTAAATTCAGTTTCAATTCAATTTCAATTTAACGACATGAGTCTGAAAGATGTTAAGTGACATGCATTTAAATCAAAATTCTCAGTTCAAGTTTTCAACTACATGAGTGGAATTGAGAATTTTGAATCAAATATGATACCGCTTTATTTAATAGAGTGCTCTCTCCAAGTTTATTGGGTTGTGTAATAAATTGTAACTAAAGTAACAACTCTGCAGTTAACATTAATGCTTATTTGTGACTGTTGTTATATGTGTTTTTTCATTGCTGTGCTGCAGCTGTATTAGGACTGAAATACCTATATTCAGAGAATAAATTATAGTACAAACTGATGTCAGAATGGATACTTCAAAGATATGCGTTATCGCCATAATTACTGCATCTGATTGAAGTGGTAGCACTGTAAAAAGTTATATGCTTTACATCCTGATAAGTTTGCTTTTATGAGCCTCTCTCTCTTTTTTTTTTTTGAGGTGAAATAATAAAGACATTTAGTTAGCAAATACGTTAATTTTAATTTACATTAATATATTCCTTTAGTCTGAGCCCTTAAACATGCTTGGCCTTTTATGTGTCAGTAGTGGTGTCTGAACTTCATTTCCTTTTGGCTTGCCAGCTGTTACTGAATGAAGGATTGGCTGATAGAAACAACAGAATATTAGCATTCTCTTCTTATGCATATATGGTTGCACTTATTCCACTGCAGACTCTGAAATGTGTCAGTGAGGTGGCTTCTAAACAGTGTGAAGAGAATTTTGATTCATTGTGAGAGTAAGGGAGAAAACATTCTGGTGACTAAGGTACTTGCAGTGATGTTAATGGCTGTTAAAGACTTATGAATAGAATACAATAGGAGGTGGGCACCCCTTTACTACCTTTATGCTGTGACCAATAATCTATTGTGCATGTCCATTGGCATTCCTGTACCTTTGTAATTGTTCAGCGTGCTGTATACCATGTCTCTCATGCAAGGTATCATGGGTTCTACAGTCAGCTTGGTTGAGTGGTGGTTAGGGCTGGGCCATAGACTCAAATGTGTATAGCAGGAAAGCTCCAGAGAAGTGTCGTAAGAAGTTCTTTATTACAAGAAACTGAATGCAGATTGGAAAGTTCTTGTTCTAAACTATAATCAAGTCTAAACTGGGACAGCACCGACTTTCATTCTCAGAGTAACGTTTCGTCTGGCATGGACTGAAGAGTACTCGAGATGAAAAGTGATTTTGGGAGCGGCTAGTGTAGTTATATGTACTTGACAGTGATAGCCTGACCTTCCTGAAGTTTCCATAGCGTTTTCTAAATGTTACTGAATAATTCCACATAAGTCGGTGGTCCACCACTTGTGTCTTGCAGTGTGGTTACTTCTTCATGGTTATATGTGTTAGCAGACATGGCCAGCAGCAATATATGTCAACCTGCAGTTTTTGTGACATCCAGGATGGTCAGTATAAACGTTTTTGAAACTCAACAACAGGGAAGGCAACCAGTTACACTTTACTAATAAAACCATTTATTAAACTATACATTAATTGTATTCAGTAATCTTACACAGAAATCGGTGTCCTCGTGTAACAAACCTAAGGGGTAAGTTAAAATAGAAATGTAATTAACATGTGTCAGCAAGACACGAGAGACAAAATGCCATTACAACTTGGTTCAATTTATGATGGAAAAAAGTAATATTAAAGTATATAATTAGCATTTGATATCCAATGGAGGTGGAATGCTTTCTTGGGAATATAATATCACAGCAGTAAAGTTTTTGATTGCAGATGTTTAGAACAAGCATTCTGGAATTGGATATGAAACATCAGTTGCTTGGAATGCCGGACTGTGTGCAGAGATTGTAAGCATACATGGCATGATGGTCACATCATACCCAAACAGAGGAGCAAGTAGTTGATTGGTGAATGTAGAAACTGCAGAGTTTAAATTCAAATTTGGACCAATCGGAAAAAGGAGGGGGGGGTTAAGTTTTTTGCAAACAAAAGTGTTATAAAATTTGGTAGCATCACAGCACTTGACTTCTGAAACACTTAACGACATTCTTTTTCTTTTCTTTTATAAAATTGGCACATATCTTTGAAATGAACAGACATAAAAATGCTTTGGCAGAGGCCTTCATGTAGAGGGGAAAGATGTAAAAACTTTTAGTAAAGATTCTGGTGCAAGTTCTGAAGTGGATGGACGAAAAAAAATATTTATCTGTAAAGACTGTAATTAAAAATTAAAATGTGAATAGTGACAAATAAAGTGATATTCAAATATGTCTTTTATGGTTAATAATTACTATGCACTCTGCCTGCCTGAGCAGGACTTGAAACACCCTGCAAGATCATTGCTTATGCAGACATTAAGATCTGCGATACAAATGAACTATTGAGAAAAACATAGTCATAACAAGTGGCTGCAGCTGAGGGGAACAGTTTTTTTTTATTGCTAGTGGGGTGGGACCAAGTCCCTAGTACGGTGCCGACTTCTGGCCTACTGTACCAGTCCCAGATGATAGGTGAGGGTGATTGTGGAGCAATTGGTGGAATGAAGATAGTCACGGGAAACCGAAGTACTCTGAGAAAACCTGCCCCAGCGCCACATTGTCCACCACAAATCCCACTTGGCCAGACCCGGGATCGAACACGGGCCGCCGCGGTAGGAAGCCAGCGACTAACCGCTTGAGCTATAGCGCGTCCTAGGGGGAACAATTACAGAGATGGGTTCCCAACATGTGCGTTTCTAGAACGGTTGCATGTTGAATAAACTACACTTGCTGATTGAGACCTTTCGACATGGACTATGGTTCAACAACTGTGTTCAAAGTGTGGCACTGAACAAGAGATGAATGAGTTGAAGGCCATTTGGAGTTTGGCACAACAAATGGGATCATGCTAATTCAAGTTTAGGTGACAATGACCTGTTAATAATCCTGCCACAGATATTAACTGGTTCCTGTTGACCCCTAATAGTTCTCCAGTTCCGTTAAACAATGATCCTGTTTATTTTTTATTTGTTTCAATTGCAAACAAATCAAATTTTGTTTGTTTATTTCTTGATAAGAAAACACGATACAAGTAACCATTCAAAATACCATCGGAAACCGCTCAGCAGAATCAACGCACAGACGTAGAGCCACTGCATACAACCTTCATGAATTCAGCTATTTTGCTTGGTACATTTTGAATTGATATATTGGCCACATTTCCCGCCACAAAATTAAAATCATACCACCAACTTAACAATTCTCCATCATAAACAAAGCGTCGGTGTCAATATACTCTTGCGGGCCCTTGCACTCCATCATTTGTTTTTTAGACGTTCGGTGTTTGAGTGTAGTGGTGAAGAAGCAAGTTTTGTCTTATTTAGGGAAATGACAACGTTCGAGGATAAATTGTTGGGAGAAAAGGCCCACTGTTACTGCAGCAGTAGTGAGAGTGAAGGGGAGAAATCAGATGATGAAGATGGTGTTAAAGAAGTGATGAAGGAAGCAGAATCTGTTCCTCCTCCAGATCCATATAAATGGGAAGGATCTTCAACAAACACAGGCCCCAAAGGTGTAATGAAAGACTGGCAGAGGTTCAAACAGTTGGAAATCGAGAAGAGAGCTGAACAAGAAAAAGAAAGGCAAGCTCTAATAGAAAAACTGTCTCTTACTTGTAAGTCGCCAATGGAAGAAGACGCTAAGAAAAATGCAGATGTGGATCCAGAGATGGCGGAATTATTGTCAGATGAATTTTTACTGCAATATCAGAAGCAAAGAATGGAAGAAATGATGGCTAAGTTGGCCACTCTCCCAACATTTGGAAAAGTTTTGAACCTTAAAGATGGGCAAGAATTCCTCGATGCAATTGATAAAGAAGATAAAGCTGTCACGATTGTAGTACATATATATGAAGAAAATATTCCAGGCTGTGAAGCAATGAATGGGAGTCTTATTTCCCTGAGCCAAGATTATCAGCAGGTTAAATTCTGTAAGATGATTGGATCCGTTGCAGGAATAAGTAAACGCTTTAAAATAAGTGGAGTTCCAGCTCTTCTGGTGTACAAGGCAGGGCAGTTAGTTGGAAACTTTGTTCGTGTCAGTGAGGAATTAGGTGATGACTTTTTTTCAGAAGATGTGGAAAGTTTCCTTTTGGAGCATGGCATGCTACCAGATAAAACTTGTGTGCCATCGATCATCAAGTCACAGAATGATGCTGATGATAGTGATCTCAGCCTTGAATGACGGTAGCATTTGATACGAAGGCAAATGTGCATAACAAAATGTTGCATAATTGCCTTTAATGTTTGCAGTGTTTACATTGTTATTCAGGTCTGCAACTGCCTTCTTGTTGAACACACTTAACACCAGGCTTTATATGTATGTGTGGCAGGTAGTGCAAAATGAAATGAGACCTGATGCTATTTAGGTGTTACAGAATTGTTCACTTATTGCTGTTAAACTTGATTCCTTTTAAATTATGTGTTTAGTTACAGAAGCCAAGTGCATTAAAATTTGGATCCTGTTGGAATTGCAGTTGCAGTCATTCTGAGATAAGTCATTTTTTATGACTTATGACTTCCCTTTTCAGTCTTTAGTTTTCAGCACACCACAGTGATCCTGGTGGGTATGATTGTAATTGCGTGGCAGTATTGTGTGGTTTGATTGCAGTTTAAAATAATGTTTAGATTATGAATATGTTTGGAAGTTGTTTTTGTCATTTTTTGTATATGAAATGTGTGTTAACCCTTTAAAGAATGAAACAGATCTTAATAATATATAGAAGTCAGTTTCTAATACAAACACACCACCAAGCGACTTCCAAGAAATTTGTTGTCCCTTATTCTGAGAGCCAGTTGAATATAAGGAGTACTCCTTCTGGAAGAATTCCAAGTTTTTTAACAGTAAATGAGGTGGTACATAGGATTACTATTACTTGATAAAGGGTTAGTATGCTGAACAAAGCACTCTGCTTTGGCAGTCAGTTGTAAAGTTTTATAATACTTCACATTTTCATAGTGATATCGTATTCAGACTGTAAATTGCATAATGGGTGAATACAATTTGAAAACAAGAGGTCCTGTTTGATGCAATGAAGAGACATCACTGAAGTACAGGAATTGTGTTTATTTAAGATACAAGTATTCCAAAGCTGAACTGTGAATATGCTATCCTCCAACAAGTAGAAGGTGAGGCAAATGATAGTGGATAGAACTGGTCTTACCATTCTGCTGATAATTTAGGGACACATTTAGCTTCCTTGTATTGTGGTAATAGTACAGAGTCATCCAAAGATTATGCTCGTCTTCAGCTCAGAGTACACAGGAGTCATCTTCTGTTCATTGGAGGATAGTATATATATTTTCTATGTTCTCCTCCTGTGCATTGTATGTCCTCAACTGTATTTAGATGCCTAATTGCACAGATATTGAGCTCTCTGTATTGGTTTTGAGGTTTTCGCAGCTGTCTTCTGGGTTGTAATGCTGTGTAGTTCAGAGAAAGCCAGATGTTCCGGAGGAATATATCCCCATCTTCAGGGCCAGAGAGTAAAGCAACCAAGAAATTAGCCAATAGCAAGAGGCAAGCAGGAGTTAGCCTGCTCCTTGCTGGTTTATTACTTTGCTTATTCTCCAGTTGTGAAGATGAAAGTGATGTTTCTACAAAACATCAGTTTTCTGAGAAGTACATGATATTACAGAATTGAAGACAATATTGTTCGTGACCTGTCTGCTTCAGAGCACATGTATGTCTTAGGACAGCCCTGTCCAACGCGGCGCCCATTGTATATTTTTCTGGTGCCCTCCGTAACCAAATATAATTGAGCCGATTTTTAATATTAATTCAAATTGTATGACGAGACATTTTTGAACACCTGAGTATTGTTAAATATTTTCGAAAAATTTTATTATTATTATTATTATTAGTAGTAGTAGTAGTAGTAGTAGTAGTAGTAGTAGTAGTAGTAGTAGTAGTGTGTGGTGGTGCCCGCACCTCCATAGGCATCAGTGAATTGTGCCTGAGTACATAAGAACGTTGGACAGCACTGTCTTGGGAGGCATGATGAAAACAAGCAATGCTGAGATCAGTTGTATTTTCATACAGAAAGACTAGGTACGGTGGTGACCCAGTGTTCAGATCTGTTGAGGCCTTCATGAGGAAACATTTTTAGAAATATGTAATTTAAAATTATGGTACATAATGGATGACCTAAAGAATGTTATGGGCCACTTCTGCGACATTTAACAAGGTATATTCAGGAAAGAAAATTAGATAAAAAAAAAGTGTTGTCTTCATGAGTTCAGGATTGCACGTTTGATGAAAATTTGATATACAAAACGAACTCCTGTAACAATGAGTGCTAACATTCATGTTTACCTTCTTTCTGCAAGTCACTGCCAGAGAAATTGATCCTTGATGTATAGCTTCATCAAAGGTTTATTCTCACGCTAGCATTTGCTTGGCTGAATTATTTGTCTCTAAGAAAATTGATTGCCTCTGCTTTAGTTCTTGGCAAACCTCACAAAGTAATAATTTTCAAGGGTATTTGCAATATGAGGTGAGCCAGGATAACAGTTAGTACAGCAACTAGGTATTGGCTAGAAAAACAAGGGGTCAGAGTTCAAGTCCCAGTGGTCAAGAATTTTCAATTCTTCATGTCCAGACTGGCTCTGGGATCCACCCAACCTCCTGTCCAATCGGTACCAGGGGCTCTTTCCCCAGGGTTAAAGTGGCCAGGGCATGAAGCTGACAGTTCACCTCCAACTAGTGCCGAGGTCAAAAAAACATGGGTCTGTACATCCACTTCCCCTATACGCCTTCACGTCATAGTGCTTACTTAGTTAAGTTCAAGGAAAACTTTACCTTTATTTGCAAATGTGAGATAACTCACATATCACATTGACAGTTGTATACTTATTTTCACTGTTTGCATCTTTTGTATGATGATTGAGGGTATTTGTCCATCATCACAACAGTAAGTAAAAATGAACCAATTGAACTGCCCACATTGGTTTTATTTAGGGGTTGCTACATGTTTCAGTCCACATATGGGACAATTTTCAGGCAGTCTCACTAAATACGTCTAAGGTTAGTGGACTGGCCTAATATGGATCCATATTAGTATTAACACAATCATGAAGGTTGCATATATTATATGATTGTGAGAGTAGTACTAATAAAAGGTAAAGGTTTCCCTGTGATGAGCTAGTTAAGCACTGTGCCTTGAAGAGATATGGGGAAGTGAATGTATGTATCCATGTTTTCTTGACCTCTGCATTAGGTGAGTGATCGGTGTCATGGCCCGGCTGCTTTATCCCCTGGGAAAGAGCCCCCCAATACCCATTGAATAGGAGGCTGGGTGGACCCCAGAACCAGTCTGGAGAATGTGGAGAAGAGAAAATTCTTGACCTTACCGGGATTCGAACTCTGACCCCTCAAATTATTACTTTCAAGTAGACGTGAGCAATATGTCAGTAACAATGATTTGATCATTGTACTTTAAAATCACATTCACAGCCGTTTACTTGATATCTGAAACAGTGGTTACTAGAGTTGCTCACTTTATTGGGTAGCTTAATATCCCATATCTGAATGTGTTCCGGATGATTTGTGTAAGCTGTAACTGGCAGACAGATCAACAGTGAACTGGAAGGCATTCTGCTTCTGATCTGTGTTGGACTTTGCTGTATTTTAAATGTTTTTTCACCAATATTGGTATAACTTCATTGTTCTTTTCTCCTTTATTACAGTTTTATATTTTAGTTTGCCTATGAGCTATGGAACTGAGGCTATATTAGTCTTACATTGAAATTTATGTGTATAAAACAGTGAAAAGCCCCTCTCACATTGACAGGCATATATATTATTGTTAATACATTTATTTATGTTTTTATTGCACCTGTGTTTTTGTCTGCTATTGGAGATTGGCTGTGTATGCAGTTCATACCTTTCAAGAGTTTAAAATATGTAAGGTATACAGAGTTAAAACTATGAGTTCTATATAAATAATTTTTCATAATTTGTTTTTTATTTACATTTTATCAACTTCTGAGATCATAATTTTTTAGAATGTGTACTCTGTTGGATTTTGATGTATAAGATATGCCTTTTCAATCTCATAAAGTTTTAAAACAGTAGTAACTTAAAACTAACTACATTAATTAACTCATCTTTGTATGTGACAAGCAGCAGAAATGTTTTGCTGTGAGTAATAAAGTGCCCTTCCTTTTGCAACTGGTTTAAATCTCCAGGCCAGCGCATAAGGCTGACAACCTTACCGCCATCTTTCAGCCGATTGTCTAGATAATGTGGGACCCTCAATGTCTCACAGCCCTGTGGGCCTTCACGGCCTGGTACAGGGATAGCTTTACTTTTTACTTTACTCGCAAGTAATATTCATTGGAACCACAGAGGTTAAATAATCACAGGATCATTCATCTCTACATTTAATTTAGTCATTTTCCTTAATTTGTCTCTTTGCATTTATTAGCATATATATATATATATATATACAGTTTTGATCTTAAAAACTGTATGTCAGTGTTCATGGCTTTCTGCCAGTCAAATTGAATATCATCTTAATGGCGAGGCATGTGTTGCTTTTCCATTCCAGGTTGGAAATATACTGAGAGAATATATTTCTTATTGATTTTCAAATGTATTCAGAATATTCATGCTTCTTTTAGATGTAGTGAATTTTGTATAGATGTATCGCTCCTAATAACCAAAGCTTTTGTTATATTCATAAAGCTGACCATGTTTACAACTCCAGAAATATGGTCAACTACTCTCCACAGAAACCAGCACTGAAAATGAAATATTTGCAAGAAGCATGCCACTAGTGTATTGTGAAGCATATTTTCTTAATCCTCTGAAATATAAATTCACCTGAATAATATTTAAAAATTAGTTCTACCTCCAATACAAAGACCAGCTAGTTAATGCTGTGTAGGCAAGTATTTGATGTTCATTTCCAAGAGTCATATGAGACCAATAAATAGGAAGTTCAAAGGTACTGAATTGTAAAGTGAGCAGTACATATAGTTATCAATATTCTATAAAAGGTTAAACGAGTATTAGAAATAAATTGTATCTCTGGAACCTGACCATATTATCTTACTCTGAAGCTATAATGGTTATGTTAAAAATTAGTGATGTGAATGGTGTTATTGTGTAAGTTGATTAAATATGGGACCAACTGTAAGTGAAGTAAAGGGTACAAATCATTTCATTCCTTAATGTTAGAGTTTAGAGGCTTTTGGTACCCTCACATCACGATGAAGAAAATAAATATTCTAGAAAGTATAAATGAATCTTCAAACAATGTCTCGCAGTAATTTTAGTGAAATAAAACAGATACAAATTAAAATGCAAACATTAAATTCGCTTCACCACATGTCAGTTACACAGCAACTATATTTAGATGTGAAAGTTTGTCCATTGTTGATAACTGCATACAGAAATATGAGCATAAATTTAAGATATGAGGTTCTCACACCAGTAGTTATGAAGAGTTATATCTTCTGGAATATGATGATGTGTAGTTGGTTGATGGACAACCAACGTTTTGGAGGAATATGACACCTGTATCTTCAGGGTAAAAGAATAAGCAAGCAAGAAACAAGCATGAAGTAGTTAGCAAGCAGAGCTCTGCTGTCCTGCAAAACATCCATTGACCAACAGACTGCAGGGAGTTATATTCCAGAACACAGAACTCCTAAATTTAACAGTTTGATCTGGTAATGTTTTGTTACATAACAGTATAAATAATTTAAGTATAATACAATTTTAATAACAAATACACTTAAGCAATATTAATGTTTTCTGTATGTAATTAGTGCCTCTTCCGTAGTCTGTTGATTGTACACCAAGCAGTGTACTTGAAATGATAATAGTCTCTGTGGTAGTCAAGAAATTTCCCGCCTTTTATGAAATCACAAGGTTCCTGTGGTCACAAGACACTGTAACAGGCCTCTGTCCTGAGCCAGATAAATCCAATCCACATGCTGCCACCCTTCTTCTTTAAGGTTTTTTTTTTTGTTTTGTCCTCCCATCTATGCCTGTATCTCCCAAGTGGTTTCTCATCTTGAGGTTTTTGAACCAAAAAATCTGCATGCATTTGTAATTTCTCAGATGCATATTACATGCCCCACCCATTTCACCCTTCTGAATTTGATAATTCTGATAACAGAGTACAAATTGTGAAGCTCATTAGTATACTGTTTTCTCAAGCCTCCTGTTACTTCCACCCTCTCAGGTCCAAATATTCTTTTCAGCACCCAGTTCTCAGACATGATTGTACAGAATCAGTTTGTAATTACTTTCATTGTATTCCATTAAAGGTTTCTCAGCAGTTTAAAATTTCTTTAGTACCATATTTCAATACAATTTTGTAATCCAAGTCTTTGTGAACGTGGTATTGATCATTCAAGGATCCACAAAATACGGGAATTTTTGTGACTAGCAAAGCAGTTGTTAGCTTCTCAAGAAGGATCGCTCTATAGAGTTAGTCTGTTGTGGCTGCTATGCTGTATGAGTGAAACCAAGGAAATTTATCTTTCAGTGTTTTATAAAATGTTGTATGGTGTGAGTGGTTTTGTTGTCTAACAGTAAGTGAAAAGAAAAATAATTGTTCACATTTTGATATTCAACTTTTTGTTAAATCCATTACATACCATATTCTGTCAATAATTTGTATGCGGATTAAGTTATATTTAACAGAGTGTTTTGCATTTGCTTCGTAATAGTAAAGTTGATAGTATTGTTTAAAATATATATGTTATTCATCTTATCAATTGAAAATAAAGTATGCATTTAGTTTATTATCAGTTGATTTGTCAGCAGTGGACTTAATCGCACTAATGTAACTGGTTATTTCAGAAAAAGAATTTGCATAGTGTTAAATCTTAATTTCTTAATACTTGCTTAACCGACCATTAAATCCTATACCTATTCTACCATAAATGATACAATGTATGAAGTTCGTCAGTTGTGTTATCATATTACAAAAAGAATTCCATTCACACATGGTGGTTGTAGGTGGTGTTCATCATATGTTGTTCTTTATATTTATGAATACAAGTAATATTTAATTCTATTATGGATATATAAAATATAAAACTACCACATTATCACTTTTCCTGGATAGTCTCTTTCCAAAAACAGAGATACCATGTATGCGAGATGTTTCCTCTGGAGACAAAACAATCCGGAGGTAAACTACTCCCCCAATCGGATCTC